TCGCCACAATATCTTGGTGGCTAAAATTTTCAGGATCCTTCAAATACTCATAAATACTTCCAAACTCAGGATCCTTACCCAGTTCGGTTATTACAGTTTCTCGGGAATTTATTGTACACGCTGTCAGCATTGCAACTTTTACGGTATTACCCTGTTCGTCTAATTTAATTCGTGATAGGGCATCTGCTACGATATTTTCCTTTCCGGGGGTATGCTTGATTACCAGATTATATTCTTGCAGCTTGAGTGCCCATCTTATTAACCTTGGGGATAAATTTTTCCCTGAGTACAATCTAGTTACCGCCGCATGATCAGAATATACTGTTATCGGCGCCTTTCCAAAATAGACTCGGAACTTTTGCACTGCTAACAGAACTGCAAGTGCCTCTCTCTCGGTCGCGGAATAGTTTCTTTGTGTTTGATTTAAAGTTCGGCTAAAACTAAAAAATGCCACGGGGCTGCTGATTTTGCGAAAGTACCGCTCCTCCTACCGCATAATCCGAAGCATCCGCTGAAATTTCTAAATTTTCATCCTTTTCAGGAAATTTCAACACAGGGGCTTGCGTTAATGCTTGTTTTAATTTTTCGAAAGCACTATTGGCTTCGGCGGCCGTCCACGAGAATCTTGCCTTTTTCCTTTTTAATTTTAACAATGGCTCAGCGATAGCCGCAAAATCTTTTATAAAGGACCTATAATATGAACAAAGTCCTAGAAAAGAAGAGAGCTTCTTTGCCGTGTTTGGAGTCGGATACTTTTGTACAGCGATTATTTTTGATTCATCTGTCTCGATCCCTTTTTGCGATATTTTGTAACCTAAATATTTTAATTCAGGGGCTGCAAATTTGCACTTTTCGACATTAACTTTTAGACCGGCCCGGCCTCATTTAATAAAGAAAACACCTGTCTTAAATCCTGTACATGTTGGTCGAGATTATCACTAGTAATAATGATATCGTCTAAATAGATAAATGTGGACTTTCCAAGAACAGGTCTTAACACAATGTCCATGCATCGCTGAAATGTGTTGCTGGGGCCCCTGAAAGGCCAAACGGCATACGCAAAAATGCATAAGTGCCAGACTTGGTTATAAAAGCAGTCTTAGGCACGTCCTCAGGCCTGACCCCTATTTGAAAATAACCATTCGTTAAGTCTAAAGTCGTCATAAATTTGGTTGATTTTATGTTCCTTAAAATTTCTTCTATGAATCGGTAACGGATATACCGGATATTTCGTTATGGAATTTAATTTAATTTACGGTAATCAATAGCGAATCTCCACCTTTTTGGATGCTCCAAAGGATAATCATTATTTTTCTTACATAAAACCACCGGGCTAGCATAACTACTTGAGATGGGCGTTATGACGTTATGATCTTTTTACGTAGCATATCGGTAATATGCCATTCTATAATTTTTTCCTTATTCTTATCATACCGGTATGGTTTTGTTTTTGACGAACCGGCAATGCATCTCCGGTGTCAATACTATGGTTAGTAACCTGAGTTAAATCCTGGAATATCACTAAATAAGGAAGCAAATTCACTTACCACTTGTCGGATTCTATCTTGCTCGTCATTAGGCAGGTGGTCAAGATTTAACCTTGGCGGTTCAACCTTTTCTACACGCACTGGTTTCATCGTCAGCTTAAGGGACGCTTCATTAAAATCCAGTGTAGTAGCTTGTGCGTCTGAAAGAAAGTCTATTCCTAGGATTATTAAATGTGTGCTTGCAAATTCTTTACTATAAAAAACATCACCTTTACTTGTTCGTCCTTGATACGGATATATACAAAGGTACTTTACCTACGCACTTACATTGTTTCCTTGCGCCGCTAATACTGTCGTATTATCCGCATTATATATGCGGTATTTGCGAAAATACTTTCTAAAAAAGACTTCTGCCACACAGGAACACTGCGCGCCGGTATCCAGGAGTGCGGTGGCCGGGATATTATTTACCAAGACTTCAATCTTCGGAAGAGTCAAATTTTTCACCATTACTGTATTTAACTTGTAGGAAGAGGGGTTTTCGTGGCCTTCGGATTTCCGCACCCTCTCGTCAGCAGAAATCCGTTTTAGTTTAAATTATTTTTTCCTTTCCGTGCTTTCCTTCTTCTTTCCCCTGGCCTTGAGACTTTTTTCCTGGGTTGCTATTGAACTGTCGACGTTCGCCGGCTGTTTTTGAATGCTCGGGTTTCCTTGCCCACTGATTCGCTTTTTCTCCGTAGCCGTGTGCTTGAGTTTGCTGTAGTCTTGGCGTACCAAACCAAATTGGTTTCGCTGTTGATATTGGCGTCTTCTTTCGACGTCCGCCGTTCTTCTACTTTCAAACTGGATTGCTAGCTCAAATAACTTTTCCAGTGTAGTCGGATTTCTTAATTCAATAAAGTCTTGCACTTGGGGTAGTAACCTCGGCAAAATCACTTGAATTATTTCAGGATCCGGACGGTTTCCATACAAGAGCTTGAAAACGTGAATTTTTCTTAAAATAAAGCTCGAGAGGTTTTCGATTCTTTGTTGATATATACTGAAAAGTTCCGTTTCTAATTTCGCACGATCCCTTACAACAGGGAAGGCTTTTAGTAGGGCATCAGTCTTGAAATTTTCGTAAGTATAGGTGGGACTTCCTGCTTGACCCAAGAGACTTCTGCCGATACATTTGAACCAGTTAAGCGCTTGGCCCCTCAAAGCGCTGGTAGCTAAGGTAACTTTTTGAAACTCGTGCACGGGGTAGAGAGCATGAAGTGGTCATCCAATTTTTCCAAAAAACTGGTTACCTGTGAGTTTCCATTAAATGTTGCTTCTGGTTTCATCGAAGCGCGCATGGTCTGGACGATGTACCCAAATCCTTCCAGGGCGGCAGCTGGCATTTCTGGATTCTGGATTCTGAGCCGTTTCTGCAGGCAGCACAGGTTCTTCTTGAAACTTCGGCCATGGTTATTCTTCTTCGTCGGGCGCCACCACTATCAGGTTCAATGTTTTTCTAACCTTCTTCGGAAACATACAATGGACCTGACTAGGAACAGAGAGCTTACTAAAGCTATGTTCACTAATTGTAGTAAGTAAGTAGACAGGATACAGACGAAGGGTATACAAAACCCTTTATTTTTTCTTATATACAATGACTTCCGTACTTCGGAATACAATGACCCTCCACTCGGGGTCTAACGTAAAAGGTATAAAAAATAAAACTAAACTCTAATTTAACTTTAGAATAACACACGTGGAAGATTGGCCTTATAATAACAGGAAGCGTATGTAGCACAGAGACTGTGAACACTACAATACGTTTAATTTATCAAGAGGATTAAAACCTCTGGCCTGGAAGGCAAATAGCAACTGCGTAACTTCTAAGGTAAGCGGCCTGCTTCGAACTCACTGCTTCCTCTCTTTCGCTTGGCAAAAAGGCCACACTTAAATACTTGGCGTTCGCCAGACAAAAACTTTGCATAAAAATCCTTAACGCTTATAATTCTGGCCGGAAGTAGAAAATAAGAAGTGATAGTAAAGATTTAAAATAAAATAAACGTTAGTAAAACTTAAGATCCTTACAACATCTTTCCTGACGTGAAATTCTTGGCAAAATAGGATTTTCCAGAGATATGAGAATGCTAACAATTAGAAAAATATCCTTAAATTTAGGGTTCGAAGTTATTTTCCTGACAGAAAATTTAATTTTTTTTTTGTTTTTATATGTTCTGTAAGGATTCTAAATTTGGTTTCAGTGAGAGAAGTCGGACTATCACCTGTATGGTGCTCGGGTTTCTTACCAACGACAGGCGCAGGATCTTGCACTCCTTGCCACAATAAATTTCGTGGGCTTGTTCTGATATTAGTGTCAAACAAGTGAGATTAGTCACACAACACTTGGGTTTCAGAATTTCGCTTTATTCCTCAAGCTATAATTCTCATTACAGCTTCAGGTGGCACTGCGTTTAGACTCCAGTTTCTACTGTAGAACATCGACCGCAGTGCTTCCGATATACTTTGAACTAAGTTTGGTGATAAGCATTGATGGCATAAATTTAGCCTTTCGTGTCGAATGTTGTCACCTTACGTATCACGAATAAGTCCACAGAAAGCTAGACGTTGAAATAGTAAAATATTTACATAGGTTTTACAGAGTGAACATTCCTGTATATAAGCCTCCAGCTTTGATTTCATTATTTGGTCTCATAAATTTTGTTTTGATACGCACTTTTGTACACGACTTCAGTTTAGTTTATTGGAAGATATAAAAATCATAATCAGTAATAATCAGTAATTATAGTAATAATAATAATCAGTAATTATAGTAATAATAATAATCAGTATATTAATATAATATATTACATATATTATTTATATATACTAATAACCAATAATTATCAGTATATTATATATCTCCATTAATTGACCAATAATACTATACTAATCGTTTTCTTACTTTATTTTGCACTGATATTTAAAATATAATGCTTCATCCCATAACAGCAGCAAAAAATACTAAAATGGAAACAAAATTATAATTTTAAAATAACTGCAATGAAATTTTATTCCTATTTTATTGTAGTATTATATTTAGTATTGTCTCATCACGAAAGAAAATAATTTAGAACACTTGAGTAAGAGACAACACTTCAGCTTTTCGACAGTTTTTAAATTGTTTTGTGACTATTTGTTAAAAAGAGATACACCCATATAAAGGTAAAATATTGAAGGAATTCTTTAACTTAAATTGTAATTATCTAACTGTTAGTAAAATATATTATTATTCTTATAAATCCTACATATAAATCTATCATTTAATGTAAATGTAAATGATTAAAAATGAAAAATGTAAATGATAGATATAGATTGTAAAATGCTTAAAAATGTGTTAAAAATTTAATAAAAATGTATTAAATGTGTTATAATATTATTTAGTTTTGACTTTTGACTTTTTTTTATGGATGAGTAATTGATTTTTGATAATATAATATCAGCGTGCTTTGATTTAATATGTAGCCTGATTTATTTCAGGCTTCCGACCTGCTATGGCCATAAACAGATGAATACGTACTTGATTAGTACTAGTTCACATATGAACTGGTGGTTTGTGGTTTGCTGATATGCCAAATGTCTAATATATATTAATTATATGCTAAGCAATGTGTGCATTCATTAGGATTCAATAGGCATTTTTTCTTTATGTCGTGTCTCAGCTGTCTACCTTGTATTTGTAATGGAGCTTATTTTTTATATCTTCTGTAAATAAAATCATGTATTCAATTGAATAAGTTTTTACATTTCAAGCACAATCACTAAATATACACAAATCCTCTTAAATTTTAATGAATTATATGTGATCACGTTTTCTTTTAAAAATATGTTAATATGTACAACAATGTTTCAAACATGTTACATTCCAGAGTTTTTAAATAAATATTTTCTTTAAACTTCAGATGAAACTAGCTAAAGAACATAAAAACATTCAATCACATAGTATAACTGAAGGATAAAAAAATTTTCAAATTATTTGTTCCGATAAATTACGCATTCATACTTGCAATATTATTTTTTCAATTTCTAATTATTAATTGAAATTATTATCTGACAGAATTTGGAATTCTTTCGTAAAATCAATGCAAGGAAATGAGATCAGTGTTAGTTTTTCAAGAGAAAATAAATATTTGTCGTACAGTACATAAAATTTGCAATAAATTAAAAGAGTGAAAACTTTTGCGTTTGCAGCACAGCAGTTGAAAAAAAATTACCAATCTGATATCTGAGATAAATTACCAATCTGATGCACTCATTGCCTGACCAGATATTAGTTTTCTAACTGCAAATTAAAAAATTATTTGTTAAATGTATTGAAAGTATTACAATGGATTCATCGCTGTCATACATTAAGGCTAATTGTTTATGAGATGAATCATCTCTATATCAGTGCTTAGATTGGTATTATGTTTTGGGGATACAAAACGCTGAAGTATTACCAATAGAAAAATTAATGCAAGAAATATTACCAAATAGAAATGGATATAATATTTAGTATTCAATAAAAAATCTTTAGAAGTTAAAGAGTAAAAGCAATTTGCATTTATAACTACAAAGAGAGAAAACGCAGTATGATTACTTTATAATACTAGGATACTAAAAAAACACTCGAACTTTGAAAAAAACTAAAAATATATAATTTTAATACATTAATCAAAATTGGAATTCAACAGAATATCGTGTGTATATACATTATTGAGTGTTAAAAAGGAGTCTTAAGTTAGTTTCTCTTCACAAAAATATTTTTCAACCGACGCTGAGAAGTTGCCTGCCTGGTTACAGATGGAATTAATAGAAATTCAGTGTGCTACTCAAAAAAAAAAAAAAAAAAAAAAAAAAAAAAAAAAAAAAATTAATGTAATGTTTATCACTGAATTTTACAAATTCTTGCCTGCTCTGTTTTTAGAAAGCTACAAATTTACGTATTACATGATTGCTATATTCGATAAAAGTATCAGTGTGAACATACTTTCTCTCTAATGAAAAAGAAGTTTCCAGGGAGATCATCTGACAGGCAATCATCTAACTTCCGTTCTGAAAATCGCTAATACAAGCAGTATGTCTCCAGACATGCAAACACTGGTCGCAGGCGATAAAATCTTCAATATCGGGAAAAGAACAATAAGTATCCATCTACTGCCAGAAATTCTTGACGCTATTTCTCCTTTTTAAACAGCTCGGCATACTGAGTGAAACTTTATGTAATTACTCACCTTTTATACGCATAATTAAGTATAAAAAGGGGTTTTTTCCCCACTTTTGATTGGCACTATTATACCCTGATGATTGTATGACACTTAAGATTCTGAACTTGACATGTCTGCGCAAAGAATCATCAAATTCATCATAAAATTCCGTTGTCTATATTTATATTTCTAATACAGAAATTATAATTTCAGTTCCAGAAACACTTGTTCCGATGTCATTATAACAGTCCCAGAAACATTTTTGAAACGATTTATTTAATGATATGAGAAGGCTACATGATTTCTTTCGTAATTTATTCAAATTGTGTCGATACTTAAATTTTCCAATAGTTTAATAGAAAAAAAGACGTAAAAGCGGATCAATGTACTTCAAGGGTTCACTGCATTTACTGAAGTACGAAACATTAAGCATATCTAAGAACGTATAGCCTTCTATACTATTACTCAGTGTGACATTTAAACAACGATGTATTGGATTTGTTTTCGCATGTATATCAAGTCACTATAGCCCACCATAATGCAACCTTGACTCTTAAAAATCATCGTTAGACATTTACGCAGTTAGGCATAATGTTTAATAAGATTTAAATCCGTTAAGTGTTGGGATTGATGAAATATTTATAACTCAGTGTAATATACTCTATATCGTTCATTTATATAACATGGAGATTGCATTATCCTATTGTCTTTCAATAATTCTCTTTCAAATGTGTTCTGACGCAAGACAAGCGTATTACCTTTTGTCATACTATAAACAGTGATACTTGTATTAATCGATGATTAATAAATTTCATGGAATGAAATCAGGCTGTATAATGGGTTAACTCACGGTTAGAGCACTACAAGCATTGAATCAGAGAGTGTTTTGTAGCAAATTCTACTTTTATGGAGAGAAAAGCATCTAGTCTTCTATCCAGAATTTTTACGACCTATGCACGCCCACCATTTGCTCGTGCTGCTGAAGTTCCTTGGGAATTTACATTTTTCTCTTCTGTTGAGCGTGGAGCCTCGTGAGCATTCACTTTTTCGTAGATATAACATGTCATCTTTCTGAGATTTTGAACAGCCTATTCAGGGGCAGGTGGTGGTAAAAACGCCCTTTTTTTTAATCATACTCTACTCGAACAAGATTATTGTGATTCTTTATTGTTGCGTCAAATACCCGGTATTCAGCTACAACCATTTTACTGCAAAACAAGTAGCCACACATTTCAGATACAGTTTCCCAATGTATTTTTAATAATTTGTCCTTAGGTCTCAACAGAATTTAGTTCAAGTATAGTTATTAGTAAAAGCAGATCAGTGGTTTTGATAGCATATGGATATTCCTTTGTAGACAATGAGGCTCCGAATTCGGGTTTCAGTTGAATTCCAGCTTATAATATTAACAGATAGATATAAAGATGAACAGAAAAGTAAAAAATATTGGGTTGTCCGGAAAGTCAAGACGAATTTTATATATGCTCTTCGAAGGTCCTTTATTTATATAGAGAACAATAGAAGAATCAGTGAAACGAAGATCCGTCAGTACTATGTTGCCGGTTTTGTTTGATAACTTTTTACTTTTCTTTTAATGAACTCCATAATTCCTCGTTCACAAAAGAACAACGAAAAGCTGAAAAAGACGCTGATTTACGGCTTCATTTTAATTGAACGTTATACTACGAAAGAAATTTTGAAGACATCGGAACAAGTGAAAGCCGGCGATCAAAACTTCAGGTGAGTATGATACGCACGGCAACACTTTTCATCCAAAGCCTAACAATTTTTGTCAATAATCAAACTTATGTGTGATCTTGTTTCCAAGCTCTTACCAAGCATCCAACAAATCAGTTCATCTATGTGTTGTCGCCAACTAGACAATTTCAAACACTCCATCTTCCAGAAACTTCCAGATTTCATTACTCACACTGGAACTGCCTTCCGTCCCGATAAAGCGAGACCACACACAAGTTTAATTACCCAAAATTGCTGGAGTTTGGATGAAAAGTGCTGCCGTGCTTATCATACTTGCCTGATCTTATGCCCTCAGACTCTCACTTGTTTCACCCTCTTCAAAAATTTTTTGGTTGTATAATATTCAACTCAGTTGAAGCCATAAATCAACTCCTTGTTAAATGTTTCACTGATAAAGCTAGTCTCTTTTGTGAATGAGGAATTATGAAGTTCATTAAAAGAAAATAAAACGTTATCGAACGAAACGGACAGTATACTAGTGACTGATCATTGTTCTTTATATAAATAAAGGATCTATGAATAACGTAGAAAAAATGCGTCATGACTCTTCAGACAACGCAATATATATTAATCTGTAAGCACACAGTATTAATAATAGTCATCTCAAGAGATTATGGTGCCTTCTTCTTCTGTTGTTCCTTTTAGAGAGAGAGATGACAGAGAGAGACGACGGAAGCTTCCGTCGTCTCTCTCTGTCATATGGAAATAGTTTTTAATCTAGGCTTTAACTGGTGTTCGAATTTAGGATCTCATTGTCTGTAGGCAAGAGTTCTACTACTGGGCTATAGAATCCTGTTATCGCTTCTGTATAATAGGTTAATAATCTAGTCGATATTTTGATGTTATTGTTCGTCATTTCAACCTCATCTTTATTATTTATAAAATATTTAGGTACTGAATAAGTGCAGGTATACTCAGTTTCTAAAGATAATGAACCTATTTAAAAATTTGTTGGTTCAGAAAATGGTCTGAAAAATACATTTTCCCAGTTTCAGATATTTCTAATGATTTCTTTACTATTTGCTATTGTATAAAGGGTATTCAAAATATATCAGTCTTTTATGCAATCAGTAGAAAAAATAGCTGCTAAGAGGTTACGTAATAACAAACGCTTTTGGAAATGTACTTTTTGCATAATATGATGTGTTATAAAACTTTACGTGAAAAAGAGAGAATTTCACTAGCATAGTAGCCTAATTTTTAAGGTTTAAGATTAGTGATTTACGAAACCATTGATCTTGTGCAATGCCGGTGATACCGACTGAATTTACAATTCTAAATATATTGCAAGATTTATCAGTAATATAGGTCAGTAATATTTATTTAGCATGAAAGAAATCAAAAGAAATTTTAAATGCAAAATATGGCAACTTCGCAAATAATATATATATATAAATGTATATTAATATCTATAATATATATTCAGATATATATATTAATATCTATAATGTTGTATGATCTTAAATTCCTTTAGTGCGAAAACAAGTTATTACTACTTGCGCAATTGCTGCAAAGTTAGTTAATAATAATTTATTTCCTAAACAATATTGATTAATTGATTATATTATCTCCTAAGTTTAATTAAAGTAGAATTATTTTAAAAGAGTGAATCCATACTGGTAAGTTATATTTTCAGATACATATATATTATAATATATATTCATATATATATATATATATATATATATATAACTATAACTATATATATATATATATATTCAGAGATATATAACTATATATATATATATGTAAAGTAATTCTTTTTGTAATTATTATCCTTAACTTATCCT